GGGCTTTTTATGCCTTTATTGATAGTGCAGTAGAGAGAGACAGGAAATGGGGCCAGCTGCAGCGAGGACTGTAGCCTCTACACATGGGGCGCCTGCTTTACGCCACACGATGCCCCTCAAATTTCTTTTTAACGTGTGTGTGGTTTATGCCAGGATGTACACCCACCATGGCTGAGGTAAAAAAAAAAAGAAAAAAAGGAAAGAGGTGTATATGACCTCTCATCCTGGTTAAGTGGTTGCACCTGAGGAGGGCGGTTCCTTTCCAGGCAGGAGTGGTTCATCTATCCTCCCTCCCTGCCTCAGGTGTGATCATGAGACTCCTGATTGGAGACTTCTTCACAGCCTTGTGAATAAAAACTCATAGTATTTCCAGAAACGGTCTTATTACCAACTGGGCTTCAGTGTGGAAGTTTTATGGTAATATTCCCTTCTCTCAGTCTGCCTCATCTGATTCTGCTTTGGTTAGTGATTTCCTGCATCTCCCAGGTTGAAGCAGGTGTCAGTTTAGTCAGTGGGAAAAGGTGCTCTTCCTGTTGTGGAGTCTGAGCTGAGATTCAAGGTTCACTGAACATGCAGGTGAGTGTTTGTGCTTATTGATTTTAATGGTTGTATTTTACACTTAAATCTTTTGAAAGTGAAGGAAGGTTGAAATGTCTGCTTTGTCTCATTTGTCAGTCTCCTTATGAGGGCTGAGTTGTAAACTTCAGTTTTCAATTAACATTGAAAGAAGTAATATTGTTGTACATGCTGAGGGTTGATTAAAAAGTTGTTAAAGATATTTTAAGATATCTGATTGGGACCAAAATGTGACTTTTAAACTGTGAAACTCAGGTGAAAATGAAGAGTCTGGTTGGATACTTTGGGCTCATCTTGGCTTTTCTCTTCAGCTGCACAGGACAGGCTGAGGTAAAAATCAAAACTACAGAAACCTCCCCTCACATCAATGTCTTCTTCTGTACTTGCATGAGTGTAAATCAGATAAAAACATAATGTCTTCTCTCAAGCTCTGGTTGCAATGTCTACCTGTAAGTTGTGTATTTTCACTGCATCAAGTCTCACTTTAAAACTTTCTCTGTGGCGTTGCTAGGGACAGCGGACAGGAGGTCGAGGTACAGAGCATGTTGTTATTGCTTACACTTTACAATTCCATATACTTTACATTAGGAATGTACCTTGTACCACTTTCATATTGACTGTGGCTCATCCTCTTTGTTTTCTCTTGTCATGTACATCTAAGGAACAGACTGCACACAGATCAAGACTCGCTCACCACAAGCATCCAGTGGAGTTTATGCAGTCCAGCCTCCTGGAGTCAAGAAGCCATTCATGGTAATGAATGTGGCATGTTGTGTACAAAGCAATTTGTACTTTAACTAACATTTTGCTAAGCCCTGCCTCCTGCTATGCCTGAGGCTTTCTGGTGGCACACACACAGTTTACCATGACAAAGGTGGCAGATTTCTCCCTCTGAATCTGTTGTTGCTGCCATTTGTATTTAATATGCATGTCAGAAATCAGCCCAACATGTCACTTAACACGTCATGTGATCCTTTCCAAAGCCCTGTAGAACA